GTAGTAGAAAATATAGCCAAGTCTTCTTGAAATAGTGGAGGGTGGACACGCGACAGGCAGATGGATATCTAAGTCGATCCAGCTATCGGGAGACAAACGAATTGAACGAAGATTATGAAAGTAGTCCAATAGTAAACAGTCAATGTAAGAGGACCGAATGAAGAAGGCTATGAAAATTCAGCAAGTGTAAGTAGGCGGCTCAGCGCCGGCAGCATTGTTATCAAACATTAGCACGGTGGATTTGCTAGAAGACCCTATCTAGATACATTTATTTCTATATATCCTGTAGTATTCACTGGAAGCCAGAGTGTAACAGAAAGAATTGTGAATAAGGAAATCCATCTGATCTCAGGACAAAGAAAAGAACTTAGTGGTAAGTAACAGAAGACATGCCAAGCAGGAAAGTTCACTGCCCTGGTTGTCCTACATGTGGCCCTGGTATCAAGATAAATAGTCTCATCACTCTCACCATAGCCCTGTTCTTTCATTCCCCTTCCCCGCCCCCCTCCCCTTTCTCCTCCATGGTCCTGTATATCTGGCCGTCGTATTCGCTTCTGAACTACTGTTGAGGCCCTGATCCTACCTGTGTGACCTTGAGCATGTTCAACATCTTCGTCTTCTATTTACCCCTGGTTATCTCCTAAGTGACTCTAATACAGACTTCATTGCTTCCAGAATTCCTATATTTACCTTGATGTATGTGACACATGCCAATATAGCGATCTACAGAACACTGGGGGGGGAGGAAAACGTCGGACATGTGCCTGCCTTCAACCTACGTTATCATCATCATGTACATACTCTGGGGATAAGCTCATCCGGTGTATTTGTCGGCCTGAAACATCAAACGGAGGAAAGCCGGTAGCCTACATCTGAGTGGGCTCCTTCCTCTGTGTCATGTTAGGGCAAAAATAATGGGTGAACCCGTCTATCAACGACTCATCCGTGAAGCCACATACAGGAAAGCAAATGATCAGACCCAAACTGCCGCGGTACAAATGATTTTTTTTATAACCATATGCACGTCGTCCAATAAGATGTTCAAGACAGTTTGCTTAACGGTGGCTGAGAGTCCTCCTCAATCAGAACTGAGAGCCTATAGCAATGGTGGGTCCTCTGCTGGATATCAATCCGACGCACAAGTGACTCCAAAAGAAAGCTGGAGACTATTGTAAGCAAGATTTTCTTATCTGAGAATCAACTATAATGCCTCAACTCCTGCACCACGTTTTCCAGATGGCATCCTCATCGTGCAAGGCTTCCCGGGATCGGTCTAGACCTTCACATGCTAGCACTGATCGGACATGTTTTCCATCTTATGGTGCCCACATAGCGTCCTCGGCCCATAAGGCTGATGATGTGAACTGTCAAGCTCCTTCTAGCCTAATAAGGAATCCGGGTCTCAATTGTCGCCTTCTTCGGGCGTGCAGGCCAATGACAGAACGTTCGCGAGTTTCTGTCCAAAGCCAAAGTTCCTGAACCAAAGCATGGCAGTCTAAAGAAGCTGAAGATAATCATGAGACAAATGAAGCCTTCATGTCTATAGAAGCTCAGCTCTATTCTTGAGGTTGCACAGGACATAGCTACATCAGACAAATATCGATCCTATGGCTTGCCAGAACTCTCTCTTGAACATCATATCCTTCGAGATATTGACATGACCAAGGAGACAGGTAGAACCCCCCTTAGCCACTACCCATCAGAATACCAAAAAGCACTGCCTAAGGATTTCATTTGTTTTGATGATGTTGTTCGTTTGGAGGGACCCGAAGTCGACATGTTTTTGGGGGGGGGGGGGGGCCTCCGTTCGCGGGAATCATCCTGTTATACGACTCCGCGAGCAGTGCCGTTTCTGACCTTGTTTAGCAGAGTTCAGTAACAAGCGAATTTACAAGGGAGAAATGAAACCATCCGTTATTACCGAATTGCTCCATATCAATGAAGCCTAGGAAATAATGGTTCGGAAAATATATCCGGCAACTCGCAAATACTGGAAATTTTGCCCTGAGCCTCGAAAGGTCTTGTTGCCTGATTGAAGAAGGTAGCAAGTCCTGATGTAGTATTGCGGACTTTCAGGCTATATTAACGCTCCTGGCTCATAACCATGCCGCCCATACGAGTGTCTACAGGTGTGCTCTTTATGAATTACGGTCAATCATTCCCCTTGAGAGCCAACCCTCGATGAAGACAGAAGACTCCACACAGCGAAGCAAGGCAGAGATCGTGCGTCTCGATTTCCCCATTTCCGATTAAATAATAGATATCTCCAGTACCCAGCCTAAAGAACTGAAATAAGAGATCAAGAATCAAGTACAAGTAAACTAGTCCAATTACTAGTAATATAATCCCCCCCAATCCTACTAAAACAGTTTTCGAAACTTCGATGCGTTACAGAAGTTCTCCGTAGGCCTCAGGGATGTTTGATACTGTTTACTTATTAGAATTCGTGAGCACGCTATCAAACGCGTATTTAAATTTATATACCTAAACAGTAAGAATAATAGAGACTGATGTATATGGATCGTGATTGAGTAATAGGATATGACGAGAAGAGCTCAAAGCCATGACGTCCCCAGGAAAGCAGAAGGGGAATGAAGAGAAATAAGGATTGATGAAGCGATAAGATCGAGTAATTGAATCAAAAGCGTCAATCGATCACGGGGTCTGATCGTCGGTTATCCAAACATCCCTGTCCCGATTGCCCTTAGAAATGTTCGACTTAGAAACGTCGACCAAGAACGGAGGGCATCCAGACAGCCAAAGACACACGGATTCCACACGATGAAATCGTGATGGGTCCTCGGAGTGATCTCACCGTCCAGATCAACGAGTACAATCAAAAGAACGGGCGTAAAAGACGAGAACGAACAGCGTTACAACATTTGGAAAAGGATACATTGATAAGCTCCACCCATATACTTCCCGGGCGATGATGGGAAGGAGCTGGGCAGAGTCGAAGCGCGACAAAATTGTCTTGGAAAATGATAGTGTGAGAAGCATGGAAATATGGCTTTAGGTGTTATAGCAGCAAGCAACATACTCCTAAGTATCTAGTGCGGTCAGTTTAGATACTTCAGGATATCTGCCTATGTCCGGGTAACAAACATCGCTCAAGATTACGTCTGGCTACGGCTGCCTAACCTGAGGCGTTTGACACTTGTTATACCGGATAACTACGATGATGGAATAAAAGGGGGGCCGCGTACTATTACCAGCGCTCTCCAACACTGTCGCTCGTTGATACCAAATCCCGAGGGGTTACGTTTATACCATACCAGGGATTCGATGTTTAGCCAGTTCGCAAGCAGGTGAACCCAGCAATGGCCTCGATTATTGCGCATCTTCGATATCTCAATATCACCAATTTAACTCGAGGCTCTATCGAGGATAGTGACTGCTCTATTGGAGAAGGCGTATTCTCTATATTACAATATGGGGAGAATCTACGATCGGTGGAGTTACATCTATTCAAACACAGGATGAGATGGCCTAAGCCTATTCATCCAAAGGCTCCTTTACAACGCTTGTCACTATGGTCTTCAAATATTTCATCCGGATCTTTGTGTCATACTCTCTGGCATTTCAGAAAGACCCTGAGATATATCGAATTGTATAATATCACACTCTCCGGCGGGGAGACATGGGAAGAGCCATTGTGGGTAATATGCCATTGTCCCCTTCTTTTGTACATAAAATTAAGCGGGTGTGACCCACCAGTCGATTGCCAGACAGTATGGGGTGTAAGATCAGAATTACAAGTGCGCACGGTATCTAACCTTATTGACAAGAAAGAAAACGAAGAAGGATGTCGCGGAAACAAAGTGAAATATTGGAGCGTGGCCCATGGTAAAGACGGCCCACGAAAGTGGATTGACTGTTGAGGGATGTGACCACTGGCTAGAATAAAGGTACTTGGCTTTACTGAATTAGTTGCTTGGCTGTGCTCATGTGGCGTTTGTATTTCAGCTCCATAAATAATATCATACACATGCTAAACGCCACGTCCTGTTGGGAGTAAAACATACTTCTGGCCTTTGCTCTCTTCCACGAGATATTCGTTCTGGCACCACACCCATAGAGCTGCCTTCTGTGTTCCGCGCTTCTTAATGTATTGTCGGGTGTTTCTGCTGATAGACTTTAAGCAGTTAGATAACACATCACTAAAGGTCGACTGTTCCTAGTCTTCGGTAACATTACCTGGATTGGCTTATATCGTAGACTTCTGCCTCATTATTCGGGCTTACGTCCATATCGACATCCCGGCTATCTCTGTACTGAGTAAGCACAGTTGGTGACCGGGAATTTGTGAGGGAGCAAGAGCGCCAGGTACTACAGGATGCACTTTGAAGGTTAATTCCAGAGAAGTGTCGCTCATCTTAATGTTATTGTCCTCCTCGTGTTGGATCCGCAGGAGCTCAGTGACCTTAATTGGATCCCGGGTTTGTATAACAGGAGGTTCCTCTGTTGGCGGGATAAGAGGAGCAGAGGGAGGGTATTTTGCTTAACCTGTGATGACAAAATGGTCATCAAACTGCGTAGTTATCATTTGATCTGAAGAACAGTGTGGGTACAGACGGGGAGATTGGCGAGAAGACTGCGATACATATACAGGCAATGGGAGAGGACGACGGAAAGGAGTAGAGGGAGCAGGAAGAGCGGCGGGAGGCGCCACGATCGATGGACCTAATTAAAAAGGCATTACTGACTGGATATTTGCAACAGGTACACCTTCGATATCATTTCTCGGCCAGACAGGGGTTGCGAACCTGTCCAGGGTGGGAGACCCGGCAGGACCACGGGGTTCACACCCGAACGGGGATTAAACCACGCGTCCGGAGGAAGCTTAACAAACTGAGCCGAAGCCCAGTCATTGATACCCACAATAACTGCTTGTACCGGGTAATTCTACTGATTCCTCGGAGTGTCCCCGATCGCGGGGGATAGACCTAGCACAACAGGACCCCTCTGAGTCGGGGCGGCGAGAATATTTCGCAAGGTGACTATCTGGCCACCAACACGCACTTGGCAGGGAGGAAGGAGGACTTGCGGGGATCACAGCACCCCAGGAGCACCGGCAGGCACAATGGGCAATGTGTTTGCTGAACGGCAGTCACGATCCGGAACTCGCCGTGGGGCTTAACTCCTGTCTCAAAGCTTTCTGTTGCGATGACGAGATCCGCCGTAGACTCTATTTCGGTTATTCTCCCCTTCGTTGGCAAGCCGCCCTCCTGATAGGTGCGGACTTCTTGAGTCACTTGGGACATGTATTCTGCATTCTCAGGGAGCTCAAGGACATTGTCGCTGTTTTGTGATGGCGTGCAAAGCTTAATGTGAACGAGAACTCCCCTACCTAAAACATCAGTCGTAAGGTAGGTAGGCAGTGTGTCGACGGCCAGGATTAAAGACCTGCGTGATAACATTGCCCTGGGTCTCCCGTTCGTGACTGGAAGCCGTTATAAGTCTGTACCTCGACTCGCTGTCATCGATGAAAAACGGGTCGACTGGATTCTGTCTGACGTATTCTTGGTTTCCAGTGTTGTCTGGCTTCGTCCAGAGCCAGGGCATGAGGGTTGAACTAGCGGAGTTCTTCCAGTACCACCAAAAGGACTTGCCACTTAAGCCGTCACGTTTTTCGATTGTCAGGCCTTGCAACATGGAGATCCAGTTCAAGGATGGAGCAACTTCGCGATGTGCTAGCTTGTATTCAAGGAAGACGGCGAACTCAGGACAGGGCCAATTGGCTGTTTTTATTGCCGAGTACTAATATCAAGAAATCCAAATCGGCTCTCCGAATGGCGTCGAGTATGTCACCATGCTTGGTGATAGTATACCTTGGCCCACTCCTTGAGACATGTATGACTCTAGCGAGCCATCATAGCGTGGCCGAAGGCATGCTGGCTTTGATCTTCAATTCCCGGATTGGATAGACAGTTAGCTATAGGGAAGATAATCTGTCCATATTTATTTGACTTGAGCTTGCCAATCGAGGCTCTTGTAAGTCAAGTATTACTTGAGCCCTGTCGGATATTAATTTCGTGTTGATGACGATTTTACAAGGACGCCAATTTTTTGCATTACGCCTGGAGGGCTAAGGAATCGTCGAAGCCTTGTGATTGCTCAAACCACTTCGAAATTTCCTTGTTCGCCATTGTTGATTCGGAGAACATTGTCACAGACCATTAAACCATTGAGTCGGTAGATGAATTGTCGGGCAGTGCGAAACTGGTAGAACATGTCGGCGCTTACATATAGTAAGCAGAATAGCCGAAGCTGAAGCATTTCTAGACTGTAGACGTAGAAACCGAAACTCTCAAGGAAAGCCGGTACCGTATATTTGTTAGTCAAGGGTCATACGGGTACAGATCCTAGGGAGTAGAATACTCACAAAAAGGAAAACTCTCAAATAATTAAGCTGGCAAAGCTGCCTGTTCTAGCACATGATTGTTAGACCTTTGCGCGCAGACTGTTGTATAGGTTTTAGTAGGTAAAGAGTCTTTATTGAATGATTGAAAAGGGTACAGACTCAAGAAAAAGCCGTAAATGAAACGGGAAAAAAAAAAAAAAAACCATTTCTCTTAGGCCGTCTCTATACAAGTGTGTGTGAGTACGAGAGTAGAATGTCTTTTGAGGGGGGGTGGTTCAGGTTCTATTTATACTGAGAGACTAGGGGCAATAGTGACTGCTCTAGATTGGATATGACGTGTCAAATGGTTCACTACAAACGAGATAATATTTTATTCTAGAGAATGATGTCTGGCCATTCAATTTTGAGATTGCAGCTGACGGGCTGTGATATGAATAGACTCCGTCTATTCTTCTTTGGCATTTACTAAGGTGAAGCTTAGACTATTCATCACATGTATAGATATAAGTGAAGCAATATTGAATTGAATTGTAAAGGAACCTAGAACCAAGGGCAGTAATATGAATGCCTAGCCAAAAGCCACATGTCTGTGGTTCGAACAATCAGGGTTCGGTCTTTAATCGTCCAGTAAAATGACCATGAAGCTCTATAACTTGCAATATACACCCCACTTCCAAAGCAAGCTAATCGTGATGGAATCCAATATCTAGTGTTATAATCCTTAAGGCATCGGTATACTATATTGCGGTACTTAGGATATTGATTACTGTTCCTGCTAAGGAGGGGCCCGGGGGGAGAATTGTTATAGATAACACTGCAGGGCGCTCATAGAGCTTTTGTGGGTTTGTCAGAGTGGGTGCCGTAGAGTTGGGGTTGTAGTTGGAAGATTAGGGTCTGCATTTCTTCTCTACTTGGTTGGTGAATTTTAAATTGGCTGATCTTGATTATAACCTTATATTAGGTACGTGGGAGCAGTTCTTTAGTGAATCATCGCAGATTGTGAGAAACGTTCTAGTGTTGAATATGAAAGGTCAATCGTCATATGGGTATGCTATGTTGCTGTATAAAGTGTAAAAGAGCCTAGGTAAAGAAACTCCGCTGATGAGAATGACTATGTGCATGAACTGCTGGTCTATATCCGCCATGCGTCGGATGAGGCCAAATCCTCGGAAGAAAATCCCTGGGGTATCTCTAGAGACGGAAGAACAAAAGGAAAACCCTAGTTCATCTCAGATGAATTTTGCTGTACTTGCTTGTCTGATTCTGGAGTAAGCTGGGCTCCCTGATTGTCAGAACCAGGCGACGGCGATGAACTGTTGGGTGTCCCAGTATCGTGGCTGACGCTCCCTCTCTCCCGCATTGCCAGGCGTGTTTTTGTGAAGGTAGGCACAGGGGCGAGGTATTGGTCCAGCATTTCGCTTAGAATTGTCGACCGGACTGGCTTCGGGAGATAATTGTTCATTCCTGCCTCAAGGCACTTCTCGCGGTCGCCCTCAATAGCACTGGCCGTCATCGCGATAACAAGCGCTTCATTAACATTAGGATCAGGGTCTCGTCGGATTTCACGAGTTGCATTGTAGCCGTCCAATGTAGGCATTTGTACATCCATCAAAACAACATGGAAAGGATTCCCTTCCTGTGAGCGCGCACGTAGAGCCTCGACCGCTTGTCGCCCATCACTGTACGCTTCACATTGCAGGTTAAGACCAGTCACGAATTTCACGGCGATCTTCTGGTTGATCGGGTTATCTTCTGCAATACAGACTCGGATTTGATCGCGTGGAATCATAGTAAGGTCACGAGCCGTAGGTGAAGGAGAGGTCGCTTTATCACCTGCATCTCCTTTCTTCAGTCCTGATGCTTTTGCGGAAGCATCTTTGACCTTATTGAAGGATAAGTGGAAAGTCACTGTGGTGCCGACTCCAGGAGTTGAATCGAGCCAAATCGCGCCACCCAAGACGTCTTCAATGATAGCTTTGCAGATGCTTAGACCGAGCCCACTGCCACCGTACGATCTAGCGGTGGAACTATCCGCTTGCGAAAATGGCCTGAATAGTCGCGACTTTTGCTCTTCAGGAATTCCAATTCCTGTATCAGACACGGAACATTCAAGGCGAATACGGCCCTTGCCTTCCCGGGTAACTCTCGCCCTGACAGTCACCGATCCCTTCGGCGTAAACTTGTAACTATTGCTAAGGAGGTTCATGAAAATCTGGTGCAAACGCACAGGATCACCAAGCACCACCAAATCTGGAGGAACCTTCTCGAGGTCCTCGATGGTTTCCAAACCCCGGTCGCGGTGTGTATAGCGGAGCGCACGAACAACTTCTGAAATTGTCTCCTTAATGTTCAGAGGCACCGTAGAGATCTTCATCTTCCCGGCTTCCAACTTAGAGAAATCCAGGATGTCATTGATGAGGGTGAGCAGGGTATCTGCGCACACACGAATGGATTCCACATATTCATCCTGTTCTTTGTCCAGTTTAGTGGCCTTCAACAGCTCTGAAAGGCCAATAACCCCATTCATTGGCGTACGTAGGTCATGGGAGATATTGGCCAAGAAAATAGATTTGGCCTTCGCTGCATCTTCTTTCAACTTGACGTTATGCTTGGCTTCGGCTTCCGCTACCTTTGCTTTCTGCTCCGCCTCACGAGCCTGCGCGAGTGCACGCTTCTGGGCTTCGACCATAGATGCGTTGGTGGCGCTGACTTTGCGGACTTCACGAAAGAGCAAGGCATTGGACAACGAAATACCAATCTGGTTACAGAGCAGGTGAAGGACTACAAGATTTCGCTGAGTAAAGGAGTTTGGTTTTCCTTCGATATGGATAACTCCAAGAAGATGCTCCGCTTGCATTATTGGCAGTGCAATCACAGATTTGCCAAGCGGATACCTACCCTGGTAAGCATCCGATACATTGGAGAATCGGTCATCCTCGAGAACATTATGGACGAGGACTTCTTCCCTGGTGCGCATGACATAGTGCGAAATCTGTTGAGCCATTTTATCTTCAACCACTGCAAAGGGAAGGCCGTCGACGTAAGATCTTTGTCCGTTTTCAAGGTCACCAGCTGCGGCAACGGTGAAGTTGTCATCGAAATTAGTTGCGATGACTGCAAAATCCGATCCATTACAAGACTCCAGAACAATCTCAATCATCTTTGTCAGGAGCTTGTCTATCTGGAGTTCAGATGACATGACTTGGCTAGACTCGAGGATACTCGACAAATCAATAATGTCTACCAGGCATTAGAAAGAGCAGCCCTGCGCTTGAATAACAGCTGGAATAGATCTAGAGACTTACCAAGCCCAACACCAGATATATCAAGCGAGCGTTCGCCTGTAGTCACGCCATTCTGCTCGATCCATCGGTGCTGTCGGTCATCTTCCTCCATATGTTGAGAAACACCAATGTCCTCTGGTTCACTACTGCGATTAATTCCTAAGAGCGAATCTACAGTTTGGCAACCAACATCAACGCTCCTTGTAGATGTGGCTGTTTTCAGGAGCCATTCATGCTTCTCCGTCAGTTGTGCGGCCTTACCAACGGCACTGATCGCCGCCCATGCGGCGATAGCATCCTGCATAACGGAGCGTGCTGCCCGTTTAGCACCACGTCGTATCAAGAAATCGCCTAGAACCAGGGTCAGTATCATGGAAGGGGTCTAAAAAAAAAGAGATCGAAAGCTATTCCACGCGTACCATGTAATTCAAGAGCAAGAGCCTCTTCCAAGGGCCATCCATGGATTTGGCAGTGATCAATCGCGGCCTTGATAGAGATTGAGCTTTTATCCTACACAAAACTGCTGGTTCAACTTACCTCGAATGCTCGAATCGCTGAGCTGTGATCATTTCGGACCTCGAAGACCAATGCCTCCAAAATCAATGACCACATTCCATAGTTTGCATCACACGCACTCCTGGCAAAATCAACTTCGGCTTTGTACCTTAGGACTGTCTTCATGTTTCCATCGAGATACCCGCCGGCAGGATAATCATTATGCAGCGTGAGTAGAGAAAGAGCCAAATAGAAATATACAACATACGAAACACGAGCTGACCATAGCCTGGGCATAGTATCCATCATCTGTACGCCCAGTTCTATAGCCTTTGAGTGGTGTCCGTATACAAACAGAGGGATCATGGCCAGGCCCCAATATATGTCACGAGGACGGTCAGCGTTACTAGCATTGTTTTCCAAAAAAGCAATATACTCGCTAGTATTGTGGTGTTCGTCAGCCATAATAGTGTCGGCATTCCGATAGCCAGTCTTCCCTTGCAGCGCACGTG